TTCAAACACATCTACTGTATTAATTTTTGTTTTTGAAATTCAGATTATAAAGATTAGRATGTAGGCTAATGAGACACAAGATGTCTGAACCTGAACACATATTTAAACCTGCATGACCAAGCATAATAAAAATATAATGAAGTTAAAAACAACACCACAAAACGAGTGCAGATAAGGTTCAAATATTTATATTTTGCCTTTAGCTGACAAAACTATAAATGTATATCTGCTGATCTGTATACTGTAACTTGACTGTAAGTTTGACTAACTGTTTGAGTGATGCTGACACAATCTGTAGCTTCCAGAGCGATCCATTCTAGCTTGATRGAGGSGTGTACGACTATATAGCAGCACAGAAACCTTTTATTTACAAGTTAATGAAAAGATGTCAACTAACGGGTAGATCAATATGACTCAAACTGAATATAATTGACACAGCACTGGGAGGGACCAAATTWAAATTTTCTGCACTCCTAGAAACTCAAAGTACACAGCAAAATGTATTTAATAGCTAAAAAAATTGGATTTTTTTTGTCCCCTTTAACAAGCTTTTATCTGGGTAAAACTACTAATGTATGTGTTGATTTGAAAGACTGTAAAATTGGCTTTGATTAACTGTTKAAGTGATGCTGACATAATGTGCATTTTTATATGAATGTAATAATTAGTTTTTGTTAGTGTCATGCACATTCATATTCAGCCCAGGCCTWTATGRCATCATCAGGATAMAATGCCRTTTRCTTTACAACTCATGCCCTCTCTATRACTTTTTATAACGAATTTAAATGTTTTTACGTTTTCATTGACAGGTTAAAGTGATGCCATTCTGCTTAAATTCAGCTGAAACATCTCAGCTGCTACAGAATATCTAAAGACAACCACAGATCAGCCTCACACCTGCTGTAAACTTGGCAGATTTTTGCTCTGCCTCTATGTGCTGCACAGTTAAATCAGGATAACACGCGTTTAATGCACAACAAGCATCCGAGTGAATCAAATCCGAAAACCCTCCAGCTCTTCTTTAATCCGCTGAACATTACTCATTCACATTTACATCTGCAGCTCACTGACCGCTCCTTTAATGTTTGGCTTCATCACCTTTACAAAAGTGACCCAGGTGCTTATGTGGGTTGGACACGGCACGGCACGGTAGCAGTGGCGGAGCCAGACATTTTTCTCAGGGGTGTCCAGACACCACTCACACAAGGGTGGCCAAGAAAATTACATCATTTTTTACCTGAAAGTTTCTGCATATATTGGCATTTTGGTCATTTCCTTATGTCCTTATACAGGCAGTGACGACCTTATAAACATGGACGTCAGAACCATTTTAAAAGTGGTGGGGACACACTGTTGGGAGGTCTGAGGGTCCTCCCCCAGAAAATTTTTAATGAAATAGTTGCCCTTTCCAGCATTCTGGTGTATTTTACCAGGTTGTTTAACATACTTTTAACCACGTAAACAAACACTTGATTTAAGAATTATTTCAGTCAAAATTTATCATATCCAGTGACTTTAGGGGTGCTTTTTACTTTTATATTGTTTGATTTATTTTTAATTGTAACATATGTCATTGTGCCAAATAATGATGACCCTCAACTGCATGTTTCAAACTAATAATAATAATTTTACCCGATGAACAGGTGCAACATTGATAACCACCAACAGTGAATTAAGAGGGGTGTTTCACTTTTTCTGATTTAGTGATAGGCCTACTCATAACCAGAAGGGACAGGGCATCATGCAGCCTTCAGAACATAAAATTAAATAAATAAATAAAATAAAATAAAATAAACATTTGTCACCATAAGTCCTAAAGTTGACACTATAAGTCAGATTACATGGGCATATGTTCTGTATATAAAGAAAACCATCACTTCCTTGTCTTTACTCTTCTTCAGTGATAGAGCTTGGTAATGGTTCAAACTGTTAAAYACTGCCACCAACTGTTCAGGAGGATTATTACACYCCTAAADGTTGTTTTACTGTGTAAGGGGTGTGTACAGCAGGGTGGCCAATGGGGTGGCCATAGATTTGTCTGTGGTGGCCATGGTTACCCCTGGCCACCCCCTGGCTCTGCCCCTGCACTGTAGTGGAAGTGGCCTCACCAAGTTTATTTCACAAGTCATTATGAAACCATTCTACAGAGTGAGATATCTACGCTTCAATAAGTTGATCAATAGAAAACATTTAACCTTAATACTTTAACATCAAACATAAATGTCAAAATAGAATCTAAAGCTTGTTTTGTTCTTACTTCATTAGCTTATCTTTGGCCTTTTCGGTGTTCTCACCTTTTCTTCCACACCCTAATCTGACTTTAGCGTTTCGTGGAAAATAAATATCTCTGCCGCCACTCCTGTGAGCCTGGCTGTCAGCTTTCCTGTGGCAGTAAAAAGCAGTCTGTGCCTGGGCTGCCTGCTTTCCTCCACAGCCTGTAATTGCTTCATTAGAGTCTGTGCTGCATCCCTGCCTGGTAGCTGGGGAGATTTAATAAAAGCTGTGAAGACGCTCCCAGCCTCTGGTGTCGAGGCTGCTAGGATGTTGCTGTGGAATCTCTTCTAACGTGACGACAGGAAAAGTCAAAGAACGTCAAATTAGGTACACTCCTGGATTCCTTCAGCGGAGCAAAAGAGCAAATGCTGCTTTCTCAGGGCGTTTATCCTGAAGATTCATTTCCAACAGTCACGGAGACAGAAAACCAGAGACAAAAGAAGATTGAATTTCTTGCGGGTCGTTTTCAGAGAAACCGATTTTAAAAGTCACAAGCTGGTCTTTTTCCTACATTGTTCTAACACTCTGAATACTCTGTTTTATATACAAATGATCTTGATGTGTAAAACTAGTGTAGGTTTGCAGATTGTAAAAAAAACAAAACAAAAAAACAGGGTTGCGCTTTCAAGATACCATCTCATCCCTAATTTACACTGCGTCCRCTTCGCCCTCTGCAGTAAAAACACACGCATCAATAAGCGCATTTACACTGCATACGCACTGCAGTGCTGGGTGGCAGCGTGCGCACGGGTTCTATCCTATTTTTGCCGGACGGTGGAGCAGAGTGGAGTCAATCCACAAAGATCACACCGCACTAACAGGAAAAGGAACGAGCACACAGATATTTTCAAAATAATTCACCAAAGACATGCACATTTTGTCAAAATCCTAGCTAAATTAATAAATTTATGGGTATTTTACATATATGCTGTCAAAATCTACCATTCTATTTGGGAAGTAGATGTCAGCTGCAGAATATTTCTACAAACAAAAAGTGTGGATTTTATTTTGAAATATGGATTCAATAAAAGACAACAGAGATGCAGTTTTGGCTGTTGCTTTGAATCCGTCTTACACAGAATGAATTAATTGGTCTGAATTCCACATTTATTACTGGATTTATTTCATGTAGGGGTGTCTCGATCCGATAACGATATCGGTCTGATATTAGCCAAAAACGAGTATCGGATTTTATCGGCCTGCATAAAAAATGTCAGATAAAAGCGCTCTGATATAAGCAGTCCAAATCCAGCAGTCCACTGAGTCCGCTCCAGCATTTCTATCCAGCATGCAGAGCTTTATTTGTAAAATAAACTTTACATTTACATTAAATTTACTGCTTATGAATTTGAAAGACATTCAAAAAATATTAATGTAATTTCTTTACAAAAAAAGAGTACACAAATTTTACTGATTGGACATTTCATTAGTACATAAAACACTGTATACTTAAAGTGTGCAAAGTATACTTGAAGTTGTTTCACTTTAGCACATAATTAACACACTTAAAATTGTGATTATTTAATTACCACTAAAATATATATTTAGAATAAAATTAGTTGTTCCAAAATAGCATGTTAAAGTATAATGATTAGTCTGGCTTCAAGTACACCTAAGTATGGTAAGATTTAGTATACTTAGTATATTTATTTTTCACAAGGGCTTATACTGTTCCCAGTTGTCCCCTTAAGTAGTATTTTGGGGAAAAAAAATTATTTAGATTTTTCCTTTATAGAATTTTTTTTTAACCAGACTTGGCAGCACAAACACCTCACAGCAAGAAGGTCCTGGGTTTGATCCCCGGTTCAGACCTGGGGTCTTTCTGTGAGGAGTCTGCATGTTCTCCTTGTGCTTGTGTGGGTTTTCTCCGGGTACTCCCACCCACAAAAACATCTACAACAGGTTGCCTTCAGGCCCAGACCTCCCTTGAAAAAGTGATCTGAGATCTCAATGGGACTTTCCTGGTAAAATAACGGTGAATAAATAAATAAATAAATAAAGTAGAAACAACCATTTAAACTGAAAGACAAAAAACCGTGTAAGAACACGACCTTCCTTTTGGCAGCCCGTCTTATTAAATATGTCTGACTGTTAGGGCCATCAGAGTCCAGGCTAATTATAGCCGCAGGTCATATTAAAGTGTGTGATTAAAACTAGCCCAGCATTAGTTATAGACCATAGGAATCCATTTTACTTTGTTGCACTCATTGCAGTCTCATCAGTGGAAGTCATTAGTTTAATGTGCATCTAGAAATTATTCCTGAATGAGCATGTTGTACAGATTGAGATGAATATGAGAAAAGTCAAGGAGAACATCAAGGTTAGACGGTTTTCCACACACATTGTTTATTCATCCGTTTGTTTCCCTGCGATTTGCTGTCGTTTTTGATCTGCACTGATATAATGAAGAATTCTGGATTCCAGTAAGTGGGAGCTCTCTGGAAGAACTGCCTGCAGGTTATTGTGATCAGTGCTTAGGCTGAACACAAGTATGAAGGGTGCTGCCACATAGAATCTACAGTAGGACTTTACTATATATAGCAAACGGCATGGGGGATGGGGAAGGCTGATGACTGTGTTTGACCAGAGGAGGAGTGTGTCTGGAGTGTGTTTGTGCATGAGCGCGTGAGCACAACGCCTGTCAATAACGGTCACGTCGGCTGCTCGCAATCAACGGGTGGACGTTTTAAAGGCGAGCAGATTTCTGCGGCGCGTGTCACACTCACGTGATGACCAGCGAGGTGGAGAAGAGCAGCGTTCCGAGCAGGCCGCGTCGACAGTCCGCGTTCTTCCTCTGGCGCTGGTGCATCTCGCCGCCGCAGTTGTCACAGCAGCGACACATGCAGAAGAAGAGCCCCACGATCGGCAGGAGGACGGCGAACAGCAGGCCCGCCGCCGCACATATGACGAAGCCTATCTCGTAGTAGATGGCCTGGGGTCGGCGGAGGAAGGATGAGAGGAGACATGAGATGAAGAATGAGGAAACATAAGCGAGGTTGTTAAAAAAAGGGAGCACATGATGAGAGATTAAAAACGAGGATTTTTTGGGGAGTGAGGGCGAGAAAAAAGGTGCGTTAATTAGGGTTTACTAGAGGAGGAGGAAGGACACACATGGAGGCCAACGATAACACGAGCAACACATTTTAATACATCTGCTTTCAAATCCCTTTATTCTTTCTTTCAAATGGTGTTTGTGCATAAACAATGAGCTCATTGCATCATATTCATTGTGGGGGAAATCCTTTCTTTCTAATCCARTGCCACAAGCTAATTCAATAAGAGATCCCCTTAATGCATTATTTTAAGAAACGCATGAAAAWCTCAAACGTGGCAGGATGAGATCATTGTTATCACACAGCACAAAGATGACAGCAACACGTGTGGGATGGTGGAGAAAATAATCACTGGAATCTGGCCCATCTTGATCGCCCGTGGTTCACTTTTTATTTATTATTTTTTTCTCCAGTCTAATAAAAGAGAAATACTGCATTTCTGATAAAACCTGCTTCAATAAGAACCGACTATGAAACAGAGAAACATYGTCTTTAGCAGCTCCTTTGATTGAACCTGAATTATACAACAAATGTTTCTTGAAAGAAGACAAACCACTCAAACTGAGAGGGTTACTCGTTTCAGAGGGTGATGCCACTGAGCCGGTTATAATTTATTATTAGCAGAACTAAAAAATWAAAAAATAAAACATGAAACAGACAAGATTATCTTTTTAATCTGTGCATAGTTCGTTCTTTGGTTTTTCCGTTTCAAACTAAAATCCCAAAAAAGAAAACGTGTTGTTTTGTTTGTTTTTACGTTTTCTTTGTATTAAAACTGAAATGTAAAAATGTTAAATCAAACTAACTGAAAATCCAGTTTTTGATTTTTGCTTCAGATATCGGTAACGCTTTCTTTTACGGTACCCTTATTACCATGTAATTACAAGGTAATAAAAATGTAATTACTAATAATACATTTTATTTATAATGCACTTTACATTTCGAGGAAATCTCAAAGTGCTAACTTTTTTACTTACTATCTTAATAGCATGTAATTACATGGTAATAAAAATGAAATTAAAATGTAATTACTATCTTATTACCATTTAATTACATGGTAATTAGGGTGCAATTTTACTATGTAATTAATTGTCTGCAGTAATGTAGCACTTACCTGGTAATGTATTACAATTCACTATATAACACCTAAATAAGTAGTAGGTAATTTGGACAGTTTTAAAGGTAAATTTTATTGCAATTAACCACTAACCCCAAAATTTAGTTGCATTCTTTTGTTTATAAAAATAGTGTTGAGTTACTATTGAATAGTAATTTGATTGTAGTTACCCAATAAATGTAGTTTTACTAACCGTGGTTTTTCTTTTGTACTCTAATTACCATGTAATTGCATGTAATAAGGTAGTAATTACCATTTAATTAAAATTTACCTTGTAATTACATGGTAATAAGGGTACCGTAAAAGAAAGTGTTACCAAATAAAATACACGGTTGTTTTAACGTGAAGCAATACCAGAAATGATGGAAGTCGAAACAGAAGAAGAGTTTAGAATGGCTGCCAGAACATCAAAATATACATTATATCAATGGACTGGAAGACTGCTTAAAAGCAGAAACCATTCCTACTGATGTTGGCAACGGCTCCTGCATAACTTGGAATAAAGTGATATTGTTTACAGTAAGATCATCAGCTTTAAATGAGATGAGTCTAAGTAACACAAACATATCCATGGTGAGAAGTTAAAACATAATGCTCACGAGTCCAGAACAGGATTTTTGGTTCCGCCAGAAGGTCTAAAATGGTGAGCTAACAAAATACGTATAAAGCATTAACCATTAAAGAAGTAGTGTTTTATGTTTAGTTTTGCAATTGTGTTTTTCTAATTTAGTTGTAAAACACACACAAACCCCTTTGTCATTKGAACAGATAAAACAAAGAATGAACCACACATGAATTATTTTGCCAGTGAACAATTTCTGCTTTTTAGTTTATGAATGAGTTTTAAAATAATGTGTTCATAACACCAGTTTTGTGGTAAATGGACTGTACTGATGTAGGGCCATTCTATCCAAACAGCATATTCAAAGCGCTTCACACTACAGTCTGTGTAAAGCGATGGGACACACAGAGGCATTAGGGGTGAAGTGTCTTGCCCAAGGGCACAACAACTAAAGGCAGCTGGGCTACCTACTGCTTCCAGGATAACTCCCCTAACCACTCTGCTACAGCTGCCCRTTGTGGTTAATAAAGTGCTCTGAAAATAGGAAACTTGTAGCTCGAGTTAAAACTACTGGTGTATAAAACAAAAACAAAGCTATTGTCAATCTTAAACTATTGTTAAATTTTGAATAAGACATCATCAGACCCCTCTTAATCTGGATTCTGTTTTCTGATGATAAATTATTGTTATTTTCTACATAGACATTTGCTGWCTTTGTTCTGTCTAAAAGTGTTTGTAGTTTGTCAGACAAGCTGAGAGTCAAAGCACATTTCTTTTGGACGTTTGTTAGATAAATAGTTCAAATTAACTTTTGTAACAGTGTTGCATTCACCAGTGATTCCCAACCAGGGGTACGTGAGCATTTTACAAGTGATACGTGGAACAATTTCCCAGGTGTATGAAAAAATAAATAAAAATAGGACTGGAATATGTACGGCCCTATGATTTCCACAATGCAGAAATCACGGATTTGACATGAAATGGAATCCACTATCTCATGAACTTTACTAATTTGGGCGGCTTTCTGATGTATTTTAGACGCTGCTGCTTCCTGCACCTGCCGTTATCCGGTTTATTTATTTACTTACTTATTCAATTTCAAGGCAATGATTTTATCTTTATCTTTCTTTGAAAAGAATAAAATACCTGAGAACTAAATATTCTAGGGGGTTAAATAAATAATTTTCATTTAATAATCAGCTGTTGTACATTATAGTTTTGGAGAATTATCATTACGTTTGACAGAGGGGGTACTGGTGACAAAATGGCTCAGGGGGTACACAAGTCTAAAAAAGGTTGGGAACCACTGGCATACACTCACCAGCCACTATTAGGTACACCAGTCCAAATGCTTGTTAGCACAAAAAGTGAATCAGCCAATCACAAGGCAGCAACTCCATGCCCCCAGGGATGTAGATGTGGTGCGGATGACTTGCTGAAGCAAGTCTCACATCAAAAGACCTGGGCCTAGTGGGGGTGGAACAAAACCGACTGTCTTGTGACACTTTCTGTGGGATTCTTTCTAGTCTTTGAGTTCTTACCTAGGAAACCTACACATCTCACCTCAAAAAAGCCTCAAAAGTCTGAACTGAGATCAAACAACAGAAATATTCATGAAGACTAAATTRCTGCTGCTGCATGCATGTTCTCCGAAGACATCCACCTTCTCTTGTCATTTACCACCAGGTCCCAGCTTAATTTGCTCCCATCTAGCCTGCATTCAGCTCAGGGAATGGAATCTGGCAAAACTATTACATGARAATCAAATATTCTCTTTTGGAAATCTTTGTGCAAAAGTGGGTATTTCAGGCAGTGACAATAATCTACATCCATCTGTTAACATACAGCGGGTAAAATAAGTATTGAACACGTCAACATTTTTCTCAGTAAATATATTACTAGAGGTGTTAATGACATGAAATTTTCACCAGATGTCGGTAACAACCCAAGTGATCCATACATACAAAGAACTCAAACCATAAATGTCCAGAAATGAAGTTATTTGTAATAATGTGGAATGGCACAGGGAAAAAGTATTGAACACACTTTTTCCCTGTACAACAGGTAAATGGTCGGATATACCTGAGTCACAAATCTCTCTGACTTCTCCATGTAGCCCATAAGTTAAAACCAAGTCCAATG